GAGAAGTTCGGTGGGCGATTATCGCCCGCAGAGTGCGGGGTGTCACGCTCCAAGCGCAGCATTATCACCCTGACCGAGTTCGGAGGCAGCCGTGCAGCTGCCCAAACCTCTGGCTGTGTAGAGCGCATGAGCCTTTCCCTGGCATCGTGGGGCAGCAGTCAGAACAGCTGCTTGAGGTGTGAGCAGGTAGACGATCTGCTCTGCCTTGTGATGAGGCTACAGGATGAAATGCACAGATTACAAAGTGTCCTGGAGAACAAACGGGGAAAGCACAGTTCACCCATGCACTGATGTGGGTTATTTCAAAGGAAGGAACTCAAAACCCAAGTTAGTCTGTATCACGTCACGTTGAGGAGAAAGATTGCAAGGCTGGAGGCAAGAGCAGAAAGGAAGTGAGCGAATAGAGGCAAATCTGTGCTTGAAGCTGAAAGCAAAAACCCTCCTTGCCTTCTCCATCTCCCCCCTTTTTTCCCCCAGGTGCCTCTAACAGCAGGCACGAGGCCCTGGATGTGGAAGGCCCATCTGTGGGTGGTAACAATCCACTCAGTCTGGACAAATTAATGAAACCAAACTGCAACAAGCCTTTCCCCAGAATCAAGACTAAGCTGTTGAAGAATAAGAGATGGATATTAGTTGTAGGTGACTCCTCCCTGCAAGGAACTGGACATCCAAGATGCCAAGCAGACCCCCTTCCCTTCTTAGAGAAGCCTGCTGTCTTCCTGGGGCTTGAGTAAGAGATGCCACCGGGAAACCACCTGGACTGGTACAGCCATCAGACCACAACCCCTTACTGCTTTTCCATACAGGGAGACAGGAAGCAACTACATGCGTATCAAAGGCAATCAAAAGGGACTGCAGGGCCTTGGAACAACAGCTGAAGGAATTGTCTCCAGTTTTGGGTGAGGACGTGGAAACAAATCAAAGGATCTTATCCTCAAATACCTGACTTTGTCACAGGTGTCAGCGTCAGAACTTTGGTTTGTATTTTGACAAGACAAATGGCCTGTATGGCATCAGGTCTGTGGGCACCAGGTGGGGTTTGCCTTTCTCTCTCCAAGGGGGAGAAGGGTCCTTGGGGAAAAACCAGAGGGCTCATTGGGAGGGTTTTAAACTGGGTCAGAAGGGGATTTGGGGGGATAGCGAGCCTTCCCATGATAAAGTGTGCGATGGCATTTAGCTAGATTAGAGTGACTGGGTGCTAACAAAGGCCTTGTAGGATCTGCTGCCTTGAGTGGTGCTAGCAACACTGCCGCACATATGAAATCCTGTGGTGATGAGGCGGTGGCAATGGGGGTGATAAGAGAAGGCAATGGGGAAAATCAAGGGAAATAATTCCTTCAAAGGAATGAAGGAGTTATCCTTTAAGGATGTGACAAGACTAGCTGCCCAGCTGGAGTGCATCTACAGCAGTGCACACAGCTTGGGAATCAAATAGGAGATGCTGGAATCTGCTGTGCTACTGGAAAACCTCAGAATAGTTGCCATCACTGAAACCTGGTGGAATGATTCCTATGACTGGAGTGTGGCTATTGACTGCTACAAGCCGTTCAGAAGGGGCAGACAAGGAAGGAAGGGAGGAAGTGCTGCTATCTACATCATGAAAGGAGTAGAATGTTAGCACGTGACGCTAAGGTATAGTCATGAGCAAGTCAAAAGCCTATGGGGGATGCTAGAGACTGAGGCAGCAAAGGAAGCCTTGTGATCAGTGTCTACTACAGGTCACTCAATCAAGCAGAGCCTGCCTATGAGGTCTTCTACCTCTGGCAGCAGGAGGCATCGCGATTGCAAGCACTCATCCTGCTGGAGGACTTCAACCAAGATGCAAGGCTTCCTGTTATCTAAACAAACTGCAGAGCTACTTTTCCGTGAATGCGGACAAGTTTAACAACATCATTACACGTTGTATCAAAGGTAGGATCAAAATGTGTTCGGAGACAGGAAAGGAAACAAAGCAGAGAAGAAGCAGAAGGTACAGACAGGAAACCACTACTTTTCCTAAGGGGACAGAGCTGGAGGCCAAAAGTGAAGAAATAGTTTCACTGGTACACAGTGCACTGTGTGTGCTGGTGGCAGGTCTCCACTTGTAAGGAGAGAGGTTTGCGCTCTGCTGCGCCAGCCTTCGTGTCACAGTGTATCTTGCTTAGCGCAGAAATAAGTGCCTGAGTCACTGAGTACAACATGATCTATCGTCACTGATAAGGAGTTCGCCTTAGTGCCACTGCTCTGGAAGCGGCTTCTGAATTCCTCCTCAAACTCTGCCTTGGTACCTTCCACTGAAAATACAACCAGCTGCAAAGAGGCGTTCTTCCCCACTGGCAGCTTGTACCAGTACATGGTCCAGGTTCCACTCTCCTTGTTTGAACAGTTGAGAGTCAGAGAGTCCCCCCGTCGGACAACTGAGTCTGGGCTTTGCTGAAGAGCCCAGCCTGGAAAAGGAGAAAAACTGTGAGAATGGAATGACTCAAAAGAGACACAAAGACGCATCCTTGAATTAACAGATGCGATGTCAGCATGTGGGACACTGTCCCATTTCTCTGACAGAGGCATATAGGAGAAAGAAAAAATTTCAAATATGCTAATAATATATATATATATATAATTTTTTTTGAATAATAAGTTCACTGCCCTTGGTGGAAGTATTAAAACATGACAGAAAAACATAAGTCAGTAAATGTGTAGATCTGCAGAGTTTTTTGAGTAAGAGACTGAGGAAAATTTCACCTCATTCATTGCTCATCCTCCCCAGGAAGCCTTGGGGAATGGAGCATTAGCAACAAGTGAACACACTGTTGGAGCACCAGAGAGCACAGGAAACAGTGGGGCTTCTCAAGGGAGATCCAAATCTACTCACCTATAGGGGCCAGGAAGGCCATAAGAAACCAGTAGGGAAACATGGGAAAAGTCTTATGTTCTTCAACTGATCTGCCCGTGGTGACAGCACTGACCTGTAGCTCTGATGCGTGAGGAGGAAACATTGAGGAAGGAAGAATGCATGATGTTGGAGTGGGCAGGACAGGGTGAGACCGCCCAGAAAGCAGTTGGTTAGAAAGCAGTTGGTTGGCAGTTGTCTGAAGTACAGACAGTAGAAGGTGGTACAAACGCTGACCAGCCGGCTTTACATGTGTGTGTGTGTATGTGCGCAGTCACAGGAACGTGCTGGGACTGCAGGGAGCTGAGTCTGAGACAAGGCAGAGGGCTGCCTGTTGGGGTTTTCTTCCCTTCCTCTTGAAACAGCTGAGATATTCACAAAAGAGGTATGATTTAAAGAAAAAGTAAAAAAACAAGAGAAACAGGGCTTTGTTATTTTCTTCTGCGCCCCACATCCAAGTTCCTGAAATGTCAATGATCCCGACCACACACACTGCAGTGCTGGATCTTTTCAGTTCAGCCCTATGCTGTTCATGCCATGTTTGTGCTTTGTTCATCATCCTGCCTGCTGTGGGCTGTCAAGGCTTCTGTTTGAAAGTCATCAACTTCTTTGCAGGAGTGTAGAAGAGCACCTCCATCCTTCTACCTTCCTCCAGCTGACAGCTGGGTCTCAGACTGTAGTCTGTTTCATTCAGTAAGCACTGTGAGTCTATTAAATGCACTGGTACTTGACACTGAGAGGAAGGTTATTTGCTTATCATGGACTGCAAGCATTTGGGTGGAAGAAGGAAACAGTGCGAGTGGTGAGGGGGCATCAGTGTTGTGTTAGAGGTGTAGAAACAGTCTGAGGAGACAGCAAGGGTGACTCAGAAAAACTGTGAGGGAAGAGAAAGATTCATCCTCCCTCGATGCAGGCAGGAGTGTCAGATTGGACTCCGTGAGAATTCCTCTGCTTACACTGCATCTGTTGTTTATAAAAACAGTGTGCGTACTAAATGTAACTGTGATGTGGGTGCAGTGGGGAAGCCACTGTACTCAGCCAGGAGGGTGAGGGCCTGCTATTCTGTATTTGCCATACTTCTGCTTGCCTGCACAATGGCAAGCCTACTGTAACACTGCACTGCGGCAGCACCTGTAGGTAATTCCAAGAAAGGAGAATGTCTTAATCACTGCACAGCTTATTGGAAGACTAAAGATAGGCATCACAGATTTGTGTTTTGGTGTCATCCAAAATCTGGGAGTAAAACTCTCTGGCTCCAATATGGTGTTAGAAAGTGGCATTCCTTTATTCCTCATGATACATACTGGGTGACTTGACAAGCAAGCACATGCTCAGAGTTCAGGTTCTGCATTTAAACAGTTAAGACATACATATGCAGTACACTGGCACATACATTTGTTCTTTTTCAAGGACTCATTCATATATGCTGATGTCCCTCTAGGCATGCTCAGTAGGATCTAGCGTGGTTGAGTGCCCACCTACTTCTTCCACATTTTCCACCAACAGCTTAATCACTGAGACCTCTCACTAACTTTCAGCTGCTTTGCCCCAGTTTGGAAAACTTCCATTGCTTATTAAGCCATAGTGTGCAACTTTTAAAATAATGCAAGTGGAATTCAAGATGTCCTTGCACCTATTGGGTACAATAGATAACAGTAATCTATTATGTCACCAGTGCAAAATTATTGAGAACAGGACTGTTCACCCACTAGAGTAGAAATGGAAAGTTTTAGAACTATCACTCATTGATTTCTTTTGCTAAACTAATATATTGATTCTTAAACCAATGTACTAATTCCTATTGCTGAACAAATCAACCAGTATTATTGGGGAATCTTCTTTCCTTTAGGCTCAGCTTCTTCACATCTTCTTCAATGCTCCATTTGGTCAGATATTTCCCACGCTAGCATGGAGGTGGGGTAATCTACATTTTCATGTAATCTTATGTTCAGGGTTCGTGTTTTCCCTTTAGTTCAACTGCTCTTCCCTGGAGTTAAGTCCCAGTCTCAGGAGGAAGCCTAGAAGAGAAAACCAACTCCTTCAGAAGCAGCAGTTTTTCCTTAGGGAATTACAAATGCTTCAGCTGACTGTTTGGGTTCACCTTGGAACATTTCCGACTCAATCTTCCAGGATAAGTACTTGTTTCTCCAGCCAAAACCCTGACTCTGTCTCCTTCTTCCTCAAAAATGATGCAAAACTAAGTGGTGCAGTTGACATGTTAGAGGGAAGGGATGCCACCTAGAGGAACCTGGACAGGCTTGAGAGCTGAGCCCATGCCAACCTCATGAAGTTAAACAAGGCCAAGTGCAAGGTCCTGCATCTGAGTTGGGGCAGTCTTAAGCACAGATACAAGTTGGGTGGAGAATGGCTTGAGAGCAGCCCTGAGGAGAAGGATTTGGGAGTGTTGATTTATGAGAGATTCAACATGAGCTGGCAATATGCACTTGCAGTAAAGAAGGCCAACTATATCCTGGGTGGCATCAAAATAAGTGTGACCAGCAGGTCGATGGAGGTGATTCCATCCCTTAACTCTGCTCTCAGGAGACCCCATCTGGAGTACTGTGTCCAGTTCTGGAGCCCCCAGCACAAGAAGAACATGGAGATGTTGGAGCAGATCCAGAGGAGGACCTGAAAGGTGATCAGAGAGTTGGAGCACCTGCACTCTGAGGACAGCTTTGAGAGAGCTGTGGTTCTTCTGCCTGGAGATGAGAAGGCCTCAAGGAAACCTGATAGCAGCTTTCAAGTACCTGAAGGGAGCCTATAGGAAACTTGGGAAGGAACTTTTTATAAGGGAAGGTAGCGACAGGACAGGGGGAAATGGTTTTAAACTGGAAGAGGGTAGATTTAGACTAGATATTAGGAAGAAATTCTTTACTGTGAGGGTGGTGAGACACTGGAACAGGTTGCTCAGTTGTGAATGTCCCCTCTCTGGAAGTATTCAAGTCATCCTGAGCCTGGGACTTAACTTCAGGGAAGGGCAGTTGAACTAGAGGGAAAACATGAACCCTGAATGTACGACCACATGAAAGTGGAAATTACCCCATCTCCATGCTAGGGTGGGAAATGTCTGCTTTGAGCAACCTGGTCTAGAGAGAGGTATACCTGCCTATAGCAAGGTGGTTGGCACTAGATGATCTTAAAGGTCCCTTCCAACCCAAACCATTCTATGATTCTATGAAAAAAGGAAGAGATATGCTGGGACTCATTGACATAATGTACATTACCTTCATCCTTAATGCTTTCCTCATAAAACTCTGGTAATAATGGGGCATTGGCACTGAGTATCCTTCCTGACTACATGAGGCCAACATCCTGATCTCTTTCTTTTAATCTGTAGGATACATATTTTTGAAAGAGAGGAGATTAGATATACATAAACATTGAGGCCAACAGAGCTCCCAGTCCAGGCAAAGAATGTGGCAATATGACCAGTGTATGTTGATTTAGGACAATTCTGACCAATGTACTTTCTAAGCAAAAATGAAGAGTGATGTGAGCACAGTGACATCCTCCAGCCACACCAGCCCCAGGACCACACCTGCCCAGCTGCTGGGACTGAGCACTGTGTCAGGGATCCAGACTATCTGCCAAGGCTACGGAATGTGGCTGCTGTAGGGTAAGAAATACAGGACAGGGTATGTGTGCAGAAATCTGCCCAGTCTTCACCCAGTAGAGCTGATGAGAGAGAGATGTTAAATTCCAGGATAGGATACATGTAGAAAAAAGAGTGGGTACATACTGTGATAGACATTCTTGTTTACACAGAAACATCATCATGACGCGTCTGCATGCAAAGCACCATCTCAACTAATGCACAGGATCATGTTTTGTGGACTTCCCTCTCTAATACCTGTGTGACTATGAAGTTCTACTTCTGTAGTTCAGCTTCCTCCCAGTGTTGTTTGTGAATCAGACAACATCTTACTCAGAGACTTGGGATCAATCTCTGGCTGTTCTGGTCATGAGCACTCTGAACATTCTCCATGATGATTTAAGCAGGTCAAATATTGTCACTCATTCAAAGGTATTGATCAAGATTTCCCACCATGTGATTTTTCAAAGTCAGCACAGCATGGACCCACAAAGGTGTGGCTGTGCAGGAGACTTCCTTTGTGGAGAACAGATTTCCTTTTCTCAGGGCATGCATCTGTGGGTCTCTTTGTCCCATTAGTCACAAAACTAGGCTGAACTTGGCCAGAACCTTGACAGAGGTCAAAAAAGGCCAGAAAACAAAGAGGGAGTGGATTTAAGTGAGGACTGAAAGGAGGCAGAAAGAAAATGAGGAGAAGGGAGGCAAAGTGGGTTATACGGATTGACATAAGTGAATATAATATAAATGAGAGTAAACAAAGAAGGAAGCAAGGAATGAAAGCAGGAAAGAGTCTGAGAAAGAAGGGAAGGCCAAGGAGTAGAGAGATATGTAAAAAGGTATTGTCCTGCAACTTTGTGCAGTGCAGATGAGGAGGATAGTAGGCCCCTTTTGTTACAGATCTAGCTACTCTTCTTCATTCTTGGCACAGCAGTATGTGCCAGAGTCACTGAGAAAGGCATGCTCCATCAAGGTCTTCTCACCTCCTTAAATCTCTCTGCTCTTGAAGTGGCATTGAAATTCCTCAACATTTGTTTTACCACTTTCTACTGTAATAGCCACTAAGATCAGCCTGGAGTCATTCCCCTAAGGCAGCTTGTATTACTACGTTGTTGTGCTGGGAGATTTCATCTTGAGGCTGTTCAAATTCAGACTGGCATTGCCATTTGACTGTGTCCAAGGGCTGCTCCAGAGCCAAAGCTAGAAGGGAAAAGGAGAAGTGTTGAGACAAGGGAAAGAAATGAGCTGATACAGAAATTAGGTTGATATGGTAATGAGGGCAGGGCAGGATGTGAATTCAGACAAAATGGAAAAACATGAGCTAGGTGAGATGAAAGAAAAAAGGATAAGATATCCTTTCAAAATAATATCTGCTAAGAAGGACTGGTTAAACAAACTTATCTTGCAGGTAGACGGCAGGAGACGCTAGCTCAGCACCTGCGTGTAAATCTTGTTTGCTTGATAGAACAAAGAGTGATAGAATTTACAGGATATGAAGATAGTTCTAGCTGGGCAAAACAACA